AGTGGTATATACAAAATACGACCAAGTAAACGTCAGAATATATAAAAACAGAAACCTAAAAATCAGTTGCCCATGCCAAGAGAGCCGCAAAACCAAAACAATTTGTTGCTGTCCACAGCAGCGATATGATTTTACATATCGAAATTGAGAATCGCATGTAAAGACATATTGTTAGAAATAGACACTTAATACATCTATCCTGGCCAGCAATCGAATCGTCAATCTTCATGAGTGACGTAACTGGCATTTCCATCTATTTGCTTATATTCCCACTATCCTAAAACGCTCAAGTGAATGTTGTCAAATTCGCGAGTGTGCGTATTTTTTCGTACAGTGGCGTAAACATTGCTACAATCAAAGACGCGCTGAACAGAAAGTCCATTCCGGGCTAGTGCCATTGTCAAATTCTGGGGAGTAGAGGACTATTTATGTAGGAGACGTTACAATAAGGAACTATTAAAATTGTTCGATTTGCATATCAAAATCCTTCATTGGAACAGAGCATGTTCTGTATTCACCAAAAAACAAAGTTGTTATGTTTCTAGACACACAACGGACTCGAAACAATATAAACCGTCCGATCCGAGCGACCTGCGTTCTTGAAAATCGAGTCTTATCGCCCTTGCGTTTCCGAGCAAAAAAACGTTGAGGCCAAAAACGACCGATTTTCGCCCAATCTTCTATGAATTTTTCATAATTTCACTAATTCAGTCCAGCGGTTAGATAGGGTATTTATTAGAGACGCCCGGAGAACCAAAATTTGGGACGTGAATCACTCCGGCGACTAAAATCGGCGAAAATGTCCAAGGGGGCGAGGGACTGCATTTCAAAAACATGTTTTATATATAGGGTATATAAACATAAAATAAATATAATTAGAAAATTTGAAAACAAAGATGTTATTTTCATCAAATCAGTGTTTTTATCTGAAGTATGTGTATATGGAAATGCAGTGTTTGCACTCATAGTTACATGCTACATTGCAATACAGTAAATGTTGCCATGAGTACAACAACACAAATGGTATGTGTATTAAAAAAATGTTTTTGTCTAAGAATCAATGAGTTCAACTCTGTACATGTTTCAAAAATTCATACCTATATGTAAGACAAGATAAGAGAATCAAATGATTACTTGAGCTATAGACTCTACAGTTTTACAGAAAATAAAGTGTCACTCACATAACATATGCAGATTTAAGCCCCCCTCCGAAAAAAATAAATCCTCCCTTCCCAATAAAAGTCATTTAAAAAACTGTTAATTAACTTCAAGGACAAAATATATATAAAAAAACAAAGGCGATACCTTACAACTGTGGGGGCATGCAATGAAAATTTCATCACAGTTGCACAAGACAAACATAAAAAGTATAAAATACTGACACAATAGTCTGAAGGGAATGCTTATAATGTAGTATAAACAAATATTATGTTATTGTCTTTCTTATTGGTAAGGTGTGTGCCATTATGGGGGTGTCCTGCATGGTTTTACATTCTTATATGAATTACCATGATTGTTGGTCTTCATTGTTTTGTGTTTCCACAATCAAACCTTCCCACTCATAGTTATGGTTACTATGACGACAATGAACATAGTGGTCTGTATGCACTGCATTGTCTTTTTGGAGAGTAATGATTTGATGTATAATAATAAACATTAATAATAAACATTCTGTCATCTGTTAATTATTCACAAGTTGTAAATTGTGAATAGCACTATTTTTGGACTGGAAATATACAAGTGATAAATATATAATTTAAGGATATTTTCTTTAAATTAACATATTCAGACATTTACCATCAGAGTAATGTCTATTCTCTGCTACGATTAAAATGTTGGGTGTCACCAACCTGATTTTCGAGAAAATAATAGTTGCATTTTAGTGGATAGTGGCCATTTTGGCAGTAATATAGTTTCCTATGGCCGAGATATTATGCATATCTAAAATTGTAGTCTGATGATATAGGCTGAAAAAATGACATATTATGAATTGAATGAAAGAATGCTTTTTGTTGTCTTCAATTAATTCAAAAATCAAATTGTGCTCTATGGAATTTTTCAAAAAATAGCAAATTTTGAAAACTATTTGGAGAAGTTTTCTGAATTTGTCACTGTAACACACAAAAGAACTCTAATTTATGGTGCCATTGGACATTAGCTTAACAATTTACATAATAAACAAATGAACATTGTCATGCGATTTATGACCAACTTTTTTCAAAAATTATGACTAGGCTTCTACCTTTCCCTATGCTTTCAAAGATGATGAATTCACATTGCATGATTTCAATAAGATCATTGTCACAATTCATCATTATCTAGTACTCTCTTTTATGTACAATTCCTATCATTGGTATGATGTTTATGTAAGGACTATTATTACAATTGTATCCTACTCAAAGTACCTTTTTATGGTTTTCGTGTTCTTTCATGCATGGCATCAATGGACACACATGAGTGAGCTTTCATGGAAATATTCAGTCTGCATTCATGTTTTTACTGTGTGTTGACTTAATGGTGGCTGATCAGGGCACTTGATGTATGTCACCACAGTAACTGTAACTTATGTAGCTAAGGTGAAAGTTAATATTATGATTGAACATTTCAAATTAATTGTTTTATTGCTAAAAAATTTATGGACCAGCGTATTTTTGTAAAATTTATACTTTTATCTAATGCTGTATAAATATGCAAATAAAACATTTATTTCTATCAGTATGCATCAATATTGATCAATTTAAATCCTCATCAGTATTAATAATTTAAATCTATGTTAATTGTTTTATCAGGGATATAATGGTGGCTATTTCAAAGATAAGCGTCATGGTGTTGGAACATACACATGGCCGGATGGCACAACTTATACTGGTACATTTTACTGTGACAAAAAAGAAGGTTATGGAACATTTACTTTGTCAACAGGTGAAAGATTTGAGGTAGGTTGATATTGTACTCATTGTATGGCTAGAAAAACAGAAATTGTACATGTAACAGTTTGCAGATGACAAAAAATGTCCTTGGATTTTCCCGCCATATCTATACCACTGTTATTTGTAACTGACTTTGCCAACGTTACACTGAGCAGTCATTCTGAATGTTAGTGCTGATGCTTGAAGGCCGTAGACCGGATAGCCATTCTAGACTTTTCCAGATCACACAGATTATCAGTCTGTATTGTACAGTATCACAGTTGGAACCTCATATTCATATTTACCAATCATTCCCTTACCATAATTGCACAGCCTGACAGGTATGTCTGAACTGCTTATCAACAAGTGGACAGTTGTTTTATTTCAATTCAATACAACACTCGTTAAAATTATTTACTGAACCTCTTAAGCAGTCATGATCAATAAAATTGCTTAGCTAGTTTTATATTAAGTATATGCAGTATCAGGGTTCATCCATCGACTGTGAAGTGCTTTACAAACCAAGAGTACGTGTTTCTGTGTGTCATTTGCCGTACACTTGCAGGGCATACATCAAACAGGAAGTCTAAAACAAAATTATATTTATTGGCCCACAGCAAACAGGTATGTAGGTATATAGATCATTAAACCATGCTGTTTTACTAGTGATGTTGGTGTTTTTACTTGTCACTTCGAAACTCATCAAAATCCCAAGATCACCTTTTATTATCACATGACTATTGTGAAATATCACAAACTGATCCGGTATAGAAAATGTTACAATATTGACATGTGCATACAATATGCAGAGAAAATTATGCAGCAGTATCATATTTATTGCAGTGATGAAGAATTTCTAGCTACATAACAATTACTCAAATGGTGCAATGACACTAACTTGTAATAGCTGTAAATGCACATCCACTGACAAGTGTAAAATACATGCCTTATTAGCATAAATTAGCATATAACTCATAAGCTTAGTTCTGTAAAATTATAATTTCTCTGGTTTATTGGCACTCAGAGTTATCACTTGATATACTAGAGCTGCTAGACTTGTGAAGTCAGGATTGTATCAGCCAATCATAACAACCCATGGATAATTCTAGCCAATGACATTACTCATATAAACCAACTGTATGAATAATTAAGGTATAACAGATAATAACCTCATAATATTGTTTGAGTGATTGCAAAATGGACATATGTTAGAATCTGAAGTAACAGACACACAGTTCATAAATACTTGACAAAACCATAGTATCCTATGACAAAACTAAGATAAAAAGTTTGTCCTGTGCAATAATTGGCACATTAGAAGATTTTAATGTAATGGACACTCAGCTCCTCTATGATACGAATGATTCTGTATTCTGATTCTGCAAACCTTTTTGATTCAATCTCTTCAATGGTATTAATGATGTGTTTCAGTGATGCCTCACACACCTAGTACAACATGATTTATTTCATGTGCATTCAAACAAAAAATAGTCACATTACAAGTGTTATGAATTCACATGTGTGAAATAACCAGTTCATGATTGAATTTATTAAGCAAAACTCATCTAAGGACCTTGAGTGCATGGCCCTGTATTATTCCACAGTCAAACCTGTGTAACACATCTTTATATTAGAGAACCTACCCACAGTGATCACCTTATAGGGCAATCCCAATGCAATTTATGTTTATATTGACTAGTGTACAATAGACATCTGTCTAATATGACCTGTAAATGCCCTTGGTACGAGTTTTGTACAATAGACATCTGTCTAATATGACCTGTGAATGCCCTTGGTACGAGTTTGGTCAAATAAATCTGTTTATCAAGGTCCACACGATAGCAGATGATTACAATTCACACAAATCTCTATACTGACATTTTCAATTTGATCAAAACAAACAAGAATATTTGTTGACAAAATTGGTCATAAATCACATGACAATGTTGATTAGTTTATTATGTACAATTGTGAAGCTAATGTCTCATGATACAATGAAATAGCATTATTTTGTGTTACAGTTATGATTTTTGAGAAACGTGTCTTAATATTTCTTGAAAATTGCTATTTTTAGAACAAGTCCATAGAACACAATGTTAAAGAAAAATTGCATTTTTTGACACTTTTTAAAACCCAAATTTTTGAAATAATTCAGAACAACATAAAGTACTCCATCATTAACAATATATAGTTTTTCAACCTATATCACCAGACTAGATTGTAAGATATTGCACAATATCTCTGCCATAGCAACCTGTGGTAAAAGTGTTATAATAGTGTCAAAATGATGACTTTTCGCTAAATACAACCATCAATTTCTCGAAAAAAAGGCTGGTGACCCCAAACTTTTTTTAGGTCATTATTCTTAGATTGCCTTGGAGTATAGTTTATTGCAAAATGAATAAATTCTGGGTATTTTAATTTATGAGTAGGCTTCTACCTTAATGTAAGCTTGTTTCACATTTATCATGCCTAAGACTGGCTTTATTTTCTAATGTGAAACCAATTATAGTTGGCTACTATTAAAACTTTAATACGACAGACTTCTTTTACTTTTATCAGATGGCTGTATTTTATGTTGTTGCTTACAAAATACAGATAAAATGTATCATCATTTTTCACACAAAATTGTAATTGTTGAAAAATTTGGATGAATTGCACTATATATTTATATTGAAATAATTTGTGTGGATAATAGTTTTCAGAACATTTTCTTCAAACAAATAAATTGTACTAAAAATTGATGAATTGTGCCTAAAAATCAACATTTACATAACACTTTTTATACAAAAAGTTGAACACTATTATTGTCATATTTGTGTTCATGAGTTAGTTATTCAACTTTCCATATACAATACCAATGAATGAGAAATAATAATTATTGTAAACTCATAGTAGCTGCTGACATAGAAAGTAATTGCTCAACACAGGTTTGACTATATTAAAAACTTACACAAATCAAAATAATAAAGAGTGATATCCAAGTTATCACTAATACCTTGAAAAAAAAAATATCTTTATTCACTTAAACCCAGAAAAATTACTGTTCCTCATTGCAGACATCAGTGAAAAAATTGTGCGTTTTAATGACAATTTTAAAATAGAAGTCAAATATAATATTTCAAACAATATATTGATCAGAAACTTTTTTGTTTTGTTTTGTTTTGTTGTTTGCCAGGCACTTAATACAATGCTGTGATCATTGCCAACAGCTTTTCTAATCCAATAATTAAATATTTGAATATCTTTAGGGGCTGTACAGAAATGATGAAAGAGATGGGCCAGGCATACAGACCTACCAAGATGGTAGTCAAGATGTTGGCTTGTGGCATCGAGAAAGATTAGTCAAACTATGCAGAGCTACTGAGGATGCATTTACAATGAAGGACCACCCTGAGTTTGACTACAACTCAGAGGAACATATTAAACAAATATATGTCACACAGGAACTAAATAAAAAAAAACCGAACTGCATTGGAGATGAATTTGCAATCAATGACTTACGTCAGGAATTAAAGAAGATAAATGAAATGTCAGACTTTACAAGTTTTCAGCCGAGTTCAGGTGATAGTATAGACATGAACACTTTGACTTATGATAAACGTGAATATGATCAAGTATTCTTTAATGACAATTGTGATGACGAAGAAGAAAATTGTGTTATTACAGCTCTCAATAATACTCCTAGTTTTATGAATATTCAAACACACATGTACAAACATAGAAGACGGCAATCCAGTATGAGTTTTGATGTTCAGAAGCTACTTGTCGGTAAGTGAGTTCAATCTTATGTATTCATCAAAGATTTCAGGTTTCCAATAGAAGTGCATGAAAGGCCAAAATACTGTTGTTTTTTTTGTATTTTGAAGACTTACAAAATGATCAAGAAATGCAGGCAATTTTTACTTAAGCGCTTTTAATAGTGCAAAAATGGTAGACACAGTAAATCAAAATATTACATGAAAATGGTTACAACAATCTTTCCTTGCTGGAGATAGTAGACAAAGTTTGGAATTTCCTCAAGCTATATTATGAATGTGTTTGATTGCATGTCATTTGTGAAATTCATATGCACATTGTGTTTAGCTGCTGTCCTCAAAGTACCAAGATGCTCTACATTACATATCTGTGTGTGACTTCGTGTAGCATTCTTATGAACATTTTGTTTACTCTCCAGGCAAATCCTACAATAAAAGTTATGAAAACATTTGCCTAGAACATATTTCTGATGACCAGAAGTGAATCAGACCTCTCTATTTTATTTATTTGTTGCAACCTTTTTGAGTCAGGGGCTCACTATTTGAATAAATAAATAAATGGGAGCTGCATAAATTACAAATCAAATGTGGCATTACATAACAAATTAAAAATCAACAAAAATTGAATCAATGTTAAAATGTTAAAAAATGGTATTAAAGAAGAAATAAAAAATAAAAAGTGATATTGTCACTTGCATGGTAGTCAAATAACACTCATGCCTTGCACATATATGTTGCACAAAGTGAGTTTTCACACATTGGCGGGTCGTTCATTATTGTTTAAATAGTACATTGAATTGTTAATTATCATCAGAAGATGATCATTCAATCCATATATGTATCATATTTGTTCTATGGAAACATATTTCTTATACATGTTTGTGTGCACATTACAGCAATTCGTTACTTTATTATTTTATGGGTACAAATTTTTCACAAACTACCACCAAGTTAAAACTTGAATTCACACAATTAATTTTTTTAGATTCGATGGCTGACTAGGTTGGAGAGTTGTTTTATATTAAAGACAATCACAAGAGTACAAAACATTTAAACGGAGATAATAAATGTATACTGAGAATTATTATTGTCTCTTTAGGTGATCGTAGTGGTTTTGCTGTGGAGGGCCCAATTGAGATAGCTTCAGAGAAGTTTATTAAAGCAGCAGGAAAGGGAGACTTGAAAACGGTTTATAATTTGTTGACTAATGGTGATGTGGATGTGGACGTTGCTGATCAGTGTGGAAACACTGCTTTATTGGCAGCTGCTGTAAGTACAATAGTTGATTTGATACATTTTATAGCGTTTTGTACATTGAAATGAAATCTACCATGGGTGAAATTAAAGTTAAAATCCACATTTCATGGCATGTTCTAGGCCACTTGCCTCCCATCCTCTCTTTTCCTCTCTGAATCGCTATATCAAAATATGCATACTTAAAATTTGATGTCACTTGTTTGAAAAAAAAAATGTAGAAAAATTTTCTGTTTATGAGAATTATTATCTTGTGCTATATGAATTGTTACAGGTCAATATGAATAATGATGTCATCAACTGTTTATTGGATCACGGAGCTGACGTTAATAAGTTGAATGATGAAGGCATCTCTGCACTAGCGGCCTGTCATGTCTTCTTCTATCCAATCAGCTCGTTTCGACATAATACAGCGGAAACATACCTGAATAAAGTAGCAGAAGATAATGATGTCACCGAAATGCCAGAAGATGACAAGGTTGATGATGCTCTAAAAGAGAGTGCTAAAAAAAAAGAAGAAATAAAAAGTGATGAAAAAGAAAATGAATTAGATTTACAATCAGTAGTGGTAGATGATACAGAAGTTGAAGATTTTGAATCCAACATCAGCTTGAGAAATCTTGAAATTGAAGTAACTGAGCAATTATTAGAAAGGACTGCTACCGCTCTGAGTACCAATAAACGTGTTATAAGTGCAAGAATGTCCATAGATTTAGGACTTGCACGCACAATGGCTGTCAACAAAGCTGAGTAAGTCAATATAACTGCTTCATGAATATTTAATTTTTAATATACATTTAGTGTAACAATAAAAACCAATTTTGTTGTAATTCCGCATGTAAAGTTGTCTCTTAAGGTAGCGAGAAGGGAAATTTTCACTTTTTTCTTGATTTTTCAAAAACTGATAAAACAGTTACTTTAGACTTTGATACATCACCCCAGGTTTACAAAAGATCGAAATTGCGAAATAACGTTGCTCAAATTAGTGTTTTAAAACACTAGCAGAAAAGACTGCAACTGGCGTTTCGTGGATATTTGCATAATGTTTATCTTTGAAAGGGTTTAAATGATAACATCTTATCTGTATACTCTGTTGTTGACGATTCTGATATAATGGGTGATAAGCTTCCAGTTGCAAACAATGCGTGTTTATCTAACGTCCATTGTCAGCATTATTGTCAGTCGAGACTTCGTCGGAGAAACATGGTCGTACAGTACTCATTTCGCCCAACCTTT